GCACCAAGTTACAGTTCAGTACGGCTTATCATCCGCAGACTGATGGCCAGTCGGAAAGAACGATTCAGACCTTAGAGGATATGCTGAGAGCTTGTGTAATGGATTTTCAGGGCAAATGGGAGGAACAGCTGCATTTAGTGGAATTTGCCTACAATAACAGCTATCAGCAGAGCATTCAGATGGTAACGTTCGAAGCCTTATATGGTAGGGCGTGTAGGACGCCCCTGTGTTGGGATGAAGTTGGTGAGCGAAGTATCACAGGCCCAGAGTTAGTACAGCAGTCAGTTGAAGCTGTGGAAATCACTCGAGATAGACTGAGAACAGCGCAGAGTCGCCAAAAGAGTTACACCGATCGGAGACGACGACCCTTAGAGTTTCAGGTGGGAGAATATGTATTTCTCAAGGTGTCGCCAATGAAAGGGTTATCTAGATTCGGCAAGAAGGGAAAACTGAGTCCTAGGTATGTCGGGCCATTTGAGATTTTGGAAAAGATTGGAGATATGGCTTACCGACTTGCCTTACCGCCTAACCTGTCCCAAGTATACAATGTTTTCCACGTGTCGATGTTAAGAAAGTATGAACCAGATCCGACTCACGTTCTAAGATATGAGGAGATAGACGTGGACGACAAGGTATCGTACGTGGAAAGACCAGTCAGGATCGAAGATCGGAAAGACCGTGTACTAAGGAATAAGACGATCCCAATGGTCAAAGTTGTATGGGAGCACCACGGAACGGAAGGTGCCACCTGGGAAAGCGAAGAGGCCATGCGACGTCAACACCCCCACTTGTTTGAGGAGTAAGTGTAGACTACAAATTTCGAGGACGAAATTTTTGTAAGCGGGGAAAAGTTGTAACAGCCTGAATTTCGATGTAATTCCGGGATCAATAAAATTGACAATATTTCGCATTTCATTTTAGTAAGTCTCGCCCAGAGCTGATCACTCTTGGGATACTAACCAATAGGGTATGGCTAATTAGAAAGCGGTACGTGGACCAAGGACCCGATCGCGAAACGGACACCGATCACGAGAAATGATGAGAGAATATTATGAACCAATGTGGATCGATCTTAGGAAAGCTAACGGACTTGGTTTGGCCAAGGCTAACGATGTACAATCGGATCGCAGGTGATTCTGCATGACCGAGAGTACACGTGGTCAATCAGTCCTGAACTTAAATCGGACGATCATGACCTCTGGAACTAGTGATAATTTCTCATTCTCTCAATGATCAGGACCGTCATGACTCGGATAACCCTAGGTCGATACGCGTAACCTCTAGACAGCTGCCCGTTAGTGAGAGACCCTGAAATTGGAAATCGAGCGAGTTTTGATCACGAAATTGGGCCCGGATTTCGATATCGAATTTCGATGGCTTAAGAGACTATTCTTGAAAATCTGACTTCATATTATGCTGGCCACGCATATTTTGAGTTAATACAGTTGAAAATTGGAATTTCGGTCCGGGGGTGAAAAATTACGATTTTGCCCCTCGGGACGCCAGCGTTGCTTTTCGAGGCCAAATGAGGTTATTTTTCGAGGCCGACGCCATTTTTGGGTGGCCACGCATACCAGGAATCGTTATGGCCAAAAATTGGAATTTCGACAAAAATAGGAAAAATAATATTATTTTATTCCCGGAACTTCGCAGTCGATTTTCGAGGGCTTAGAAAGTAAATTTCGCGATTCCGACGCCATATTATGTTGGCCACGCACGTGGAGGGTTGGTACGGGCGAAAATTGGAATTTCGCCCCGGGACCGAAAAAATGACCATTTTGCCCCTGGGCTATGTTCAGGTCCGAATTTTTGGGAAATTATTTGGGATATTTAAGAGTGCTTATCAGCTGCATTATTGGACCAAAATACCATTTTGCCCCTCAATTATTGGATAGGATTTGTTTAGAACCGTTAGATTAGGGGCATTTTGGTCCGAACCGTTGGATTGGCGACACGTGGCACTTGTGGGCCGACTTATTTGACCAGCTGACCACTCTTTCTCTCTCCTCTCCCCCTCATTCGGCAGAAGCACCACAGATCAGCCCTCACCAGCAGCTTCTCCCTCTTTTCTCTCATTTTTCTCTCTCGGCTTGGCTTGCCGGAGCTCACCGCCGGTCACCGGAGCACCGCCGCCGGCCGCCGTGCCTCGCCGCCGACCACCTCAGCCCCCAGCCTCAGCCTCACCCTTGTCCGGCCCCTTTCTCTCTCTATTTCTCTCTCTTTCTTCCTCTTTTTCTCTCTTTCCCGTCCGGCAAAAAGGGCCGCCGGAGCTTCGCCGGAGCTCCGATCGCCGTTCCGTCGCCACCCAGCCGTCCAGCCTGCTCGTACGTCGCTGTTCATCAGCGGCCGTACAGTGTCCGTACGGTGGGCACTGTAGCAGTCCGTACGCCGCCGTCCGTTCGGCCGGCCGTGGCCGTCACCGCCGTCTCGCCGGCCACCTGTTTCCGCCGTCCGTACAGGTCCATACCGTCCGTGAACAGTGCGTCAGTACTGCCGTGAACAGTACGCGCTCGGGAATTCCGCCGCCGGTTTCACTGTTCATCAGTGATCGGCCGCCGTTCCCCGTCGCCGTGGTCCAGAAATTAAGTGAATAAAATTCCTAAACCCGGATTAAGACTGATAATGCGTTTTTCTGGACTGGTTTAGGTATTATCGGTGCATTTTGGACTGGCCTAGGTAGTATCAGTGTATATTTCAGACTGGGATGAGGACTGATTGATAGAAATTATTATTGGGAAAATTTAGTGGATTAATGAGAATTATTTGGGGAGATTAATTGGATTAAATGACCAATTTAGGAGCCCATTGAAAAATTACCGGGTATGTCCGAGTTGACTGGTTGTACATGATTTGTGCTTAATTGGGATTGATTTCGTACTACCATGTCGCATGTCGTGTGGCTAAATTATGTGGAGTGCGATTAGCCAATGATTGGTTTGAAATTAATTATTGAATTGTGAATCGCACGTTGGGCCACACGGTATTAATTGGGCCAATTGAGCATGTGTGTTGATATTGAGTGATTGAATTTCATTGGTGCTCATGGTGCATTGCATCGCATAACATGGACACGCATTATGTATGCCTAGAGTGAGGCATGTGGTGGAATTGTGCGAGAATGCGTGCCTGCCATGAGTGTGTGATCACCTAAAATATCCTGAAGCGTCATACGCTGGGTTCAGATAATAATGAGTTGTGGGATCACCTAAGGACCTTTGGGTCATGACCTTCGGGTCGATACCGTCCTCATGCACTTTGAAGCAGGACAATGCCCGATACTTCCGGAAGACGACCATCCTCATGCACTTTGAAGCAGGCTCTGGTTGGTAAGGAGATCGGTGTTGCGCCTCATGCACTTTGAAGCAGGCTAGAGACACTGGGCCAGATCGGTTGCTGCGCCTCATGCACTTTGAAGCAGGCTAGACGCACCGGGCCATGAATGTTGTTGACTCGAGTCGTCGTAATAAATAATAAATTGGGCGATTGCCAGTGTGGGCCAGTGGGCCGGGAAATGCGCGTGACATGTCGATGACATTTGCAGACATGAACATGCATGGACTGGCATGCGAGTGTGTGAGACTCGGTGTATGAGCATGTGATTGGCGTACGTGTGATAATGTGTGCCACGTACGTGCCGTGACTATTATATGTTGATCTGTCTAACCTGCAGGGTCAGAGAATGGTTTGATTATTGTTGTATTGTGATTTAAATATTTGTTTCCGGTCAGGAGATTACATGCTAGCCTAGCCTAGGTTTAGGGGTTGAACTCACTGAGATTCGTCTCACGGTTGTGTAAACCGAAACTTTTCAGACCTCCAGCCGTAAAGATGCCTCCGAGGAGTTGCCAGATGATTCTACCGAGTCGTTCGACCCTGACTGGGAGCCCTAGAGCAGGCCGGTACCCTGGGAAGCGAAGATCGTCTCTTTTTGAATAGCATTCATATCCTAGTTAGCCTAACCACCTGTGCGACTTACCCTTTTTGATATAGTGGTAGTTAAATACTTATGTTGAGGTTTTTGGAGTTGTACAAATGGATAGTGTAAAAAGGTTTTACTATAACAGTACAAGTGTATATTCTAATTTGATGGCTGTTCTACCTTGGTCTCACGTGTGTTGTTTTGTACGGGTGTATATATATATTTATATACGTTGTTTCCGCATGTGACTTATCTTTGATTGGGCGTTGGGTCGGCGACGCATCCTGGGAGCGTTGCATCACAAACGACCGGAGATGGGATGCTCGCGCTTCGTGGGGTACGGGGCGTGACAGCATATCTCTTCCCTATGGTGTCGCCTGTAAACATAGCCAGGGCGCAGTAGCAGATGATCATCCAATGTAACTTTGGTGCTTTCACCAAAGACAAGAAAGTAAATCTCAACCCAAATATACAGCTCCATAACAAAACAAGTCCTCATATAAGATATTTGTGTATCACTCAAATTTGCAAACCTGACACAAACCTTAGAAATTTCCACAAATCATAGCTCAGATTTGAACAAGGAAAAACGAGAAGTTACCGATTCATTCTGGAGCTGACAGTAGCATCAGGATAAAAGAACTCGATCCTAGAAAAACAAGCATTCAAACCCCACTAAAAAATCCCCTTACATCGTGAATAGGACAAAGAGAAGAGTGATCAACATATAGTATTCATGTAAACACATACAAAACCAAAAACGCTTTAGAAATCATAGCTCCATTTTAAGAAAGAAAAGGCCGAGAGAAAAGAGATGCCAGTCAACCTTTGGAGCTAATCCTAGCATGATAAATGATAACAATTTCAAGGAAACAGGCATTCACACCCCTCGATAAAATCCGCTTCTATGGTGAGTAAAGAAAAGATAGTGACCAAAACATAAGCTTCATGTAAAATATGTATAAAAGAAACTCATTTTATGCAAGAAATTAAGAACCTAAAGTATATATTGGATAAGTACCTGTATTGTCATCCCTGTGCTTAACATCAGTAGCAGTCAGTGATCTGCTAATAAGTTGAGCAACTGACTCATACTTAGGCTTCTTTATCAATGGGAAAACTGTACATTTGATAGGTGCAACATGTAGAGGGAAGTGGAACACATTCAGTTGTCCATCCCCGCTTTGCTGAGCCTTGTATAGAAAGAATGCTCAAAAAGGCAGTATATTATGCGTTCAATGCCAAAAGACGGTTCGATAACAGATGGTGTAAAAACCCTCTCATGTTCCCTTATCTTCTGCTTAGAAATTTTGACCATGTTATCCGTGATTTTTATCATCCTCCCCACTTTGAGCACGAGAAATCCAGCCTTCCCTTTGGATTCTAAAGCAACCTTCAACTGCAAAGCTTCCTCTTCATCCATTAACTGGTTTTAACAAGACAAATGCAAGCATAAAGTAAAGGAACAGATTCCGAACATACTTAGCAAAAGAGCAAAAACCGAGGAACCTCGAGCATATACCGAAAGAGATTCAGTCACCATCATCTGATTTTCGTTGAAGGCAAGACCTAGTTCCTTCTCGTTTGGAGCAATTACAAGTTTCTGCATTTATACTTCAATTAGTTAATCATGATAACAAACTCAAGCATTCATAAATAAAGGTCAGAAACCTGCTCCACGTACTCCAAGAATAGCTAGCAAAATTAACTAGTCTGAAGAGTTACCTCCACTTCCCTGCGTTCAGCAAATTTTTCATGGGCAACTAAGAGCAGCTCCACTTTTCTCCTGTCCAAATGACAACAATCATCACTCCAACTAGATGCCTCTGTGATTAGCGGAACATATACATCTCTAAACTTTCTCTTATCCAGTTTTCAACCCCCTAAAAACGTCCAGGATAATGTTTTCCTTCAAACAGTATATTAGACAAAAGAATACAAGTGTGCAACAATGGATAACATATGTCATCCATCAAATGGTTGCCACACAAGACAGCTAAAATGAGAACCTATACAATGTAGCAAAACCACACCTTGCTATACAGAGCTATAAAGAGATCATTGAAGAAAAAAGTAATATGGATAAAGTGAAAATAAAATATTATTAATTTCTTAGGCATGTTGGCAGCTTATGATTCACATTCCATAACTTTGCTTCTGCTTCCTCAAAATTAGAAACAGGACGAAGAGTTTTGGAAGGATTTCAAAAAGACTCGAGAGGACCTTATGATAAAATCATTTCACTTATTGAGATAAAGAAATGACGCAACCGATCCTTTCAATATTCCTGACTGAGCGCCTTCTCCCAAAAAAAAAAGAAAAGAAAACTACTTGAAAGAAGGCAACATAACTCTTACCGTAAATTTCCGTAAATCATATGCTGACCTATCTGCAATATCAACACACTCCATCCAACCATAGGAACACTCAATTTTAGCAACCCAACAATATGCTGCACAGTGTCCTATTTCGTTCCCAAGATGCTGCCTAAACTGCAAGTGATCCTTGTCTATGCCGAGGCGAGTTAAAAACAAAAATGTTCTCCCTATGAAGTACCCGAGAGTCTCATGAGTAACAATTCCCTAAAAATAAGCATCGAAACTGTGAGACTCAAAGTGAAAAGGTTAGGGGAAGAAAAATCAAGTCCAAAAGTTGATTCGAGCTAACCTTTGAAACTACTTCACCAAGCCGAGTTTTAATAGGAGATTTGCCAGTTTGTCGTTCTCCGGGGAACATAAGCAATTCCAGATCTGCAACTTCAGAAAACTTTGGATGGGATTTATCTTCTGGATAGACAAAATGCTCGATCTCGGCGACACATGGACGATCAGAAAATGATTTTGAGTAGAAATCTACACGTGTGAAAAGCATCAGAATCAAATCGCAGATTAAAATATAAGGGTCGGATGAAGATAACGAAAATATCTCTAATACAGCATTGGAGATCACGTTTTAAGCCCATTTTGACTAACAAGACAATCAAATCTTACATGTAATGCAGTCTTAAGACAAGTTATGCTACGCAATGGTATCGGAGCAGAAATCATGCATAAAACCCAAGCACGTGAACACCCTTGATTTAGGATGATCAGAAAGAATGATGGCACTACCTCTTCTCTGAAAGTCCGACCAGTATGAGCAATAGCAAAGGGGAGTTTATTGACGTTAGGCTCATGCACCCTTTTGAAATTCGCAAAAATGCCTGGCGCAATCTCAAGTCGGATGTACCAACTACAGCAGCAGATCGAGAGGGGAACAAAAGAATAAAGAAGAAACTACAGTAAATCCCAAAGGCGTAAAACTAAAAGCTAAAACAGCGGTGTGACATCCATTGGTGGTGGTACTTACTCCAGTAAGTAACCGGATGGGACTATGGAATCTTGAACCATCAAGGTGCACGGATGGGGATCGGAGAGAGCATTTTTGGTGCCTGGAGCTGTGATGCCGTACCCTCTTATCTTGGCAGCCAATTCCTCAGCAGAGAGGAGATACAGAGTCGCAAGCAGGTGCTCGACTTCCGCAGCCTTCTCCGCACCTATGCTCAGATCCTTTTGGAGCTTCTCGTGACAAAAATCTTCGAGCACATGGGGAGCTCGATACCAACGCCCAGTTTCCTCATCCTTCACCATGAGGACGGTAGGGTCGTCCACAAGACCCGCCGCCTCGAAGAGAATCGCCGGAGGGGCATACGGGCACTCCACATCCCACATCTACTCCTCGTCAACAAAATGCTAAGATTATCCTCTAATCTTCTAATCCTCGCATGGCTGACCTGACGCCAGAACGCCAAGACGCCAAGACGTTCGACCTAAGGTCGCTGCCGGATGGGCCGTAGTCATAGAGCCCGGCGCCGGAGACGGAGACTTGGAGCTGCCTCTCGATGATGGCCTCGTCGATCTTGAGGTCGTTCAGGGCCGCGACGGCGGCGTCGATCTGAGGCCCCGGCGGCCCGCTGGCCTCGAGGGGCACGGACGGCCTCGCCCTGGGAGCCGACGTCGGCCTGCTTGTCGGCAAGGGTCTTGCGGAGCGCGTCCACGGCGGCGCGACCCATTGCCGGGTGGGAGGGAGGAGGGAGGAGGTCGGGGAAGGTGGAGGGAGGCGAGAGGAGATGGAGAAAACGAGAGGGGGACGGGGACAAGGGGAATTAGTTGACAAGGAGCGAAGAAGAAGAAGATGGAGTGACTGAGGGAGACAGTCTGTTTAGGGCCCGTTTATCAATTTGCCCGACTGTGAAAATTTCTATTCTTTTGTTTTCAAAATCAATTTAAAAATAAAAATTTACTTATTAATTTTTTTGTGTCCAGACATAATTTTGTAAAAAATTATTCTCAAAATCAGTTTTGGAACAGAATCAAGAAGCAAAAAAAAAAATCTTGATTTTAGAACAATTTTTCCATTTCCTGATTCTTTTTGATTTTCTTCTTTTTTCTTGGTTTGTTCTTTTTCTTCTTCCTGGCCTGTCGCCGCCTGCTTCCGATCGGCCACTGGCCAAAGGCCAGGGCCGGCGAGGGCATCGCGGCCCTCGCCGCCTAGGCGAGGGCAGCTCGCGACCGCGACGGCGAGGTCTCGCCTGGCCATGGCGAGGCCAACCTCAATGTCCAAGGAAGAGAAGGAAAAAAAAGAAACAAATATTAAAAAATTCAAAATATTATTAATAAAAAGAAATTTTGTGTAGTTACCAAACACATTTCTATTCTTTTTTTAATTCTAAGAATATAAATTTTGGGCAGTTACCAAAGACTTTCAAATGCTTAGAAATTGTTTCCGGGCACTGAATCAAAAAGAATCATTTCTGAATAGAATCTGTTCCCGAGTACAAAATGATTGCCATGCGCAACCTTAAGATTTTTGGAAATTGCAGTGAGTGAGCAAGTGGGGGATATTTTCGGGATTCTCGCAGCCCGAGTGTTCTTGTTCGAGGGTGGTACGCATGTTTGATTGTTTAAATGCAAAAAAAAAATGAAATTAGTATATATACATGATAAATTTACTTTAAATTAATTTTTTCGATTACCAACAAACTTCAAACTAGTATATTTATGACAAATTTACTCTCCGTTAGTTTCTATTAAACCACGAACAGATACACTTATGATAAACGGAGGGTAAAACTCAAGCCGATACGTCTGTTATTTGTCACGTATCGTCAAACTCAGCAATCTGATAGTAAAATTCGATGAAAATAAATTGAAGATAAATTTATCAAAAATATATCAGTTTTGTATTTTTCGTGATATTAATCCCATTTGATATCAACATAATGAATGATACTCTAGATCTTATGGAATTCTCAATTATATAGATTTGATCTCCCACTTTCCCAAAGTACAAATAATTTTGCGATGATCGATTTATCCATTCAAGATTTTACTAGCGTCTTACCTGATTTGGTCCATAAGATTAACAGAGAAATTTCGAAGGTCTGGGGTTTTCTACCTGGGTCTATAAAATAAAGTGGACTTTCTCGTCATAGACGATGTCCTTAATACTTAATAATTAAGCTTTTAAGATCGGGATTCTCGGCGGAAGAATGGAGCTTGCATTTCTTTCTCTCTCGGGAAGTGAGCTTCACTCATAAAAGCTGCATGCGAAAACAAACAGATGTGAGTTTCAGGTGGGCTTTGGACGACCTCACGGGGCCTACTTGGACTTCCTTTTTGTGGGGCAAGTTGGGGGTGAGGCCCACCACAATACTTTGCATTAGTCATGGCCACGGTTCCGAACCGGCCGGTTCCGGTTCGTAATTTAAAAATTTTAAAAATAAATTATGAAATAAAAAAATAATGAATTATAAAAATATGAAATAATGAATTATTCAATATAAATTATAATCAAAATGATTATAGGGGTGATCGGTTCCCGGTCGGAACCGGGAACCGAACCGGTAAAACCGATCCTTTAATTTTAGAACTAGGAACCGGACCGGCAAATCATAGAATCGGGAACCGGACCATTGGTCCGGTCCGTTACTAGGCGGTCCAATGGAATCATTTGCTCTTAACTAGCAAAGGATCGTAACCACAAAATGCATACAACTTCACATGCTCATGGCTTGGCTTGGGTTTTATAAACAACCCCTTTGATGGTCTCTTCATTCCCATTCGATGTGGGACTCTTGGCATTTGCATGAAGACAAGCCAAGAGTCTCACATTGAAGGTGTTCAAGGCAAGCCGAGAATCCCACATCGATTGGGAATGAAGAGACCATCAAAGGAGTTGTTTATAAAACCCAAGCCAAGCTTTGTAATTAGAGTTCAATACACTCAAGCCAAGCATTGTAATTGGAGATCAATGCACTTACAATGCATGGCAATTAGAGTTCAATTTGTTTTATAAAAAAAATTAAATAATGAATTTTTTTTTTAAATATTCATTAGTTTTTTTTAAAAAAATAATTTGGAACCGGAACCGGAATCGCCGGTTCCGGTTCAAAAATTTTGGAACCGGAACCGGGCCCGTAGGCCACGGGCCGGTTCTGGTTCCGAACCGCGGCCCCGGTCAAGGGGCCGGGCCCGGGTTTGACCGGGCCGGTTCCGGACCGGTTCCAAGCCAAAACCGGCCCGTGGCCATGACTACTTTGCATGCATGCAGAAAGGCGGAGGAGGGATGATGATGATACGTTTTTTTTTTGCTAAAACGATGATGATGATACGTTAGCTCCCGACAATAGTGCACTTTCCGAAGCAATGGGATATTATCTATTATCCTCAACGTTTGGAGATATTAAACTTTATTTTGCTTAGGCCTAATAGAGACTTGATACCAGGGAGCTCTCAACAATATCGCTCATTGGCGTTCCCCAATTCGCAATCAAAGCATCCGGGCTATTAAAAAGTGAAATATCGAGCATGTGACTTCATAATTCATGATTTAAATAAAACTTAACCCTCGATCTTCTTTTTTCATCGGTCAGCGCCTTTTCAATCTAAAGTATTAGTCCATTCAAAAAAGGGTAATTGTGAAATTTATGGTTAATCTATTCACAGTTGGAGGCACCTTAATAAGAGAGAGACTCCTCTTCCATTTACTTTTTTATGCACTGCTGGAGGCTATGAAGTCTTAAGCTTGGACGTGCTTGATGCGGTATTTGTCCAGCACTAATCTTACGAACAATTTCTAACTTATTTTTAAAACTTACACACTCCCACGTACACAAAACAAACCCATCTCTCTCTCTCTCACACACGATGAGTATAAAGGGACTCCAAAGGCGGCGACAGGTAGCTGAGTGAGGCTTAAAGAAGGAGAGATGGAGGAAGGGAGAGAGGTTTTCTATTGAGTTTCTATTTGTGAGTGTCATAATGTTCCCCCAAATTTTTTTAAAAGGGCCAGCATCGGAGGCCGCACCCGATTAGGGATAGCGGAGAACACAACACTCTGCATGCTAATTTTTGATCCTTGCGAAACCATACTCCAGTGGTAATCTTTCCTGCTCTTTTTCGCAAGAAACTCAAACAATTAACGCCCATATTGAAGGTAGAACTACACGCTTGGATCTGTGACTCATTCCAATATAAGCAGACCAAAATATTTCCAAAGAGAAGGTTCGAAATACACATACCAATGCACTTTCCTCTTCATTCGCTTCGGTCACCAGGCTTGTGTTCTTCAACACTTTGAAAAATCAGAACTAGATGATCTCGCGAGACGATGGCGTCAAAGACTGACAACCGAAGTGTTCTTGACCCAACAGCCTCAAGGAATGATGGGGAAATCCGCATCGCTACTAGAGAGAAAATGCGCGTACCGGATCAGGTCCGGGTATGCTTCGTGCGACGATGCCATCATAGTGGCTGGAGGATTGAAGGGCACGGCATCAACGTTTTGTTCAGACAATGACCACTACAAGTGTACACGTTCCTAATTATGCTAGTACTTGTTAGGGGTGTCAAACGGGTGGATCGGGTCGAAAATAATCCTACCCAAATTGACTCATTTAACCAGTTTTGACTCATATTCATGTAGTGTAAATCTAATGACTCATATCCGACCCAACCCATACCCGACCCGACCCGTATTCTAAAAGACTTTAAAATCTAGTTTAGAAAAAAACTTGTTTCTTATAATATTTATATTGCTAAAATGCTTCAATGCAATATAAAATAAGTGAACAATTTTTATAATTTAAAAAAATAAATTTTTATATTTTTATATATCTTTATTTTTTTCTTTTTATTTTTTTTAAATTTTAATTTTAATTTTTTTTCTTTTTTTTGTCTTTTTCTTTTTCCTTCTTCTTCAGCCGGTCGTTCGGCGAGCTCGTTCGGCGAGCTTTGAGCTTGCCAATCTAGACGAGCCTCGAGCTCACCGGAATCTGGCCAGCTCGAGCAAGCTTGAAACTCGCCATGGTCGGTCGCCGGCCGTCACCGTGGCCGGCGATCGGCCGGAGAAGAAGGAAACAGAAAAATAAAAAAAGGAAAAAATAAAAATAAAATAAAAAATAAAAAAATTCGATTTTTTTTTAAAAATAAAAATAAAAAAATTTTAAATGACACTTGAGTTATTTAGCCTACAAGGTTACAAGTTAATAACTTAAATGATTTAAATATGGGTTAAATATGGGTTTATTGCAAATCTATTGACAAACCCATATTTAACCCATATTTGACCCATATTTGACCCATATAAACTTTGGCTTTAATGTTGCAAATCTAACCTGCTTTCAAAATTTTAAGTGACCCATAGACAACCTGGATCCACTAAAAATGAGTCAATAAATGGGTTTCTGACCATATTGCCACCTCTAGTGCTCGTGTTGCCTTGAAGTCGTTCGGGGAATTTGAGCTTGGCCTTGGTGCCCTTGAATCTGAGGGCCTGATCTTGGCCTTGGTACTTTTGAATCTGATTCGTAGGTGAGGGCTGCTGCTTCGCGTTGTCGAAGGCGAGGGCTGATCTTGGCCTTGATGCCTTGGTGCGTTGTCGTAGGCGAGGGCTGCTGCTTCGGCCCTGTCGAAAGTGCTGAGCCGCACCCGAGCTACTTTGTTCAGGTCCGGTATCTCAGCAGCCCATTTGCCTCACGGTCTTTGCCTCAGTCCGCTGTAGTGTCTTCTCATCCACCTGCTACTCTCTTCACAAACATAAAAAAGAGCAATGGGAGGCTCAGTTTGGCGCCCATACTTGTATTGCATTGCCCTCTTAAGAAACGGCAATTTATCATGATCCATTTTTTTTCCTACCAATCTTTGATGAGTTTTCAAAACATTTTTAAGTGTACGTAACTGTTATATTTTGAAGACAAGCTTCGTCAAAATAGATCTCAAACTCGGTGATCTTGATCTGAGGTTGTTGGAGGTGCACAATCTCGGATTAAACCCGATCCGATGCAAACAACCAGGTGTCCTCACATTCATTCATCCACGCGCGTGTGTACAACAATGTAGTCGGCACTTGAATTGAAACAAACCACACGTTTCCACCTTGAGGTCCCTGGGAAATGATCTCTAGCGAACCCAAATGCCCGTCAAGGACCTATTTTCCCGTTACTTTCACTCGGATTCTCCTCAGAACTCTCTCTAGACAACGTGAATTTTGACGAATCACTTCACAAATGTCATCGAACGATCTCCCTTCGTCTAACTAACTAAATTAAGGAGACAATCGGACGCATTAGACTCAGATTCAAATTCGTCCGAGAAGAGAAAAAAAAAACATCAATACCAATTCGCAACGATGAACTATACCAACTAAATCATTTAATACAATCCACGCCAATTCAAGTCAATTCCATGACTACCCTGACGCTAGAACGCCAAGACGTTCGACTTGACAGCATAGTCGGGCGGGCCGGAGTCGTATAGCCGGTGACACCGCAGTAAATCTTGAACGAGGGAATGTAGAACAGGTGGTGCTCGAGCATGTTGACGACGCCCTGACGGCACACCTCCCTAGTGAGGGCACTGTCGCCAATGCTGGAGACGGTGGCCTGGAGCTACTTCTCGATGCCGGCCTTATTGATCTTGAGGTTGTTGAGGGCCACGATGGTAGCGTCGGTCTCCGGCTTGGATAGTTACACATCAGAATTTAATGGAAATTTTTGGGATTCTCGCGATTATTAATGGAAATTATGATTATTTCCATGGACGGATTGGACAGCTACACACAAGAATTTAATTACCAGCGATCTTAGTAAAGAAAAAAAAATATTGTTAAAATAAAATAATATTGTTCACCGTCATTTAACAAAAAATTCATACGATTGTGTGTGCTTGAACTTAGTTGTGTAATCCAACCAAAAAAAAAACTTAGTTCTATAATCGAGTACTCTCACATGTTGATGATTCGCTGATAAGTGCGTAAATTATTTCTTATGCCGATAGTGGATCTCATGAATGTCCAAAATTAAAATAACTTGAATCTATGTAAATATATTATAGCAATCTTGTCTAAGTATTGTCTTCAACATTGTCGATTGTTAAAACGAGCCAAGGAAACATTCCAATGCCACATTTAGCGATATGGTATGCCCAATCATCAGAATTGTAGTAAGAAACGGGAAGTTGTCTAATTGCACTGTTTTTGTGCGGGATTGGATAGGAGAAACTTAGGGATAAGTGTCGTAACATGGCTTACTTGGTTGATGGCTAATTGAGGACTTAGGTTTTAATTTTGATCAATTGAGGACTTAAAGTTTTAAAAAGGTCGCAATCATGTTTCGAAGTTGTAATATGTGAAATTCAGGCATCAGAAATGATATGTGACAAATGACCGAATATTTCACGTGGAAGTCATGTAGGGTCTTCAACTCTTGAATTTCATCGATGGCGAGTTCGAGATCTAATTGGAGCCTTTTTGAAATCTTAAATTATTAATTTTCTAAACTAAAATCTTGACATCTCAATTGATGAATGGCCAAATCTTTAAGTTTGTTTCCGTGTTTGCCCTGAGAAAGTTAGAATCATTAGTCAAAATTTTGACTGGCCCTGCGTGGAAGTAAACAAGAATGAAAAATCAAGAATACTATGAAAAAGTAATCAAATTAATATTTGAAATTTTTGTCTTTCATTTGGAAGAGACAAATGTCAAATGTACTGTAGAGTTCCGTTAAGTGAAAAATGGACATTCTGTCTGCGATTGTAAATTTGAACGGGGTTTAGTATGTCAGACCGTGTTAAGAAAAATGTATGGGCAAATTATTTGGCCATTTAATCATAAGTAAGTTAAAGACGAAATAATGAGTTATGTCAAGTCCAATAACAGGTTATTACCTGCATTGGTAGTAAAATAAATCTCGAAATAACTCTATTTAATTTATCGAGATAATAGATTATCATTAACTTTACCAGTTTATAATTTTTTGAGAGACGGAAATTATCTTGAGATAAATGTGTCATGGGATATCAATTTGGCATTTTAATGTTATTAGTGTGAGAAAAATTCAAAGAACATTTCTAGCATCGTGTTTATAGCAATAGAATTATCTACCCGCACAATCCTAGTTATAATTGAAATGAAGAAACATATAAACAAGTTAGGGCAGTTGGTATTCTAGTACTCACCCTCGAGTTGGTGCGTGAAAATCAACGATGCCTTTTACTTCTTAATGGCATCGTTAAAAATGCATTATATGTGTATTGCACTTAATACACTTCCAAATCTTAGATGATATGGATTTCAAATGGCGTTCATCAAATAAAAGGAGAATGTATCTTCCATAGTAGTTCCTTCCAAGTTGACCGGTCAATACAACTCGACATAATCATCCTTCCACATTCAAAACAAAGACAAGAGAAGAGAAAGATAAGCTTAATACTAAACACACATTCTGTTTCTCCATCCGATAACACAAAGCACTTCCTCAAAGTTGGGCAAGTTTCTCTAGCCCTCCACTTTTCCGTTACACATGCCAAAAACAATCAATAATGGCTTCAACCCAAATAAGATGCAAGAAATTGATTAGCAGGAAAGGGGCCAGTTTTACCTGTTGAACAAGCTCCTATTCGCGCTTTACAAACGTTCTCTTGAACCAAAGCATGGCAATCATCGTTGTCATTGAGAATTTCTCAATGGCCTTGTCCATCGCTTGAAAGTAAGAAACCCTCCAAGATTTCTTGAAGTGCAAGACGCTACAGAATCCTAGAAATCCCACTGTAAAACCCGGTCCCAATCCTGCATACAACCAATTGTGGATATCCAAATCGCTTTCGCTAGGCTTATCTCCACTCGAATTATCACCATTAATACCGGGTGGCTTGTCTCCGAGACAAATCTTTGAAAGAGGAGCTCCACAGAGTCCATTGTTGCCCTGATAAACAGATTCATCGTCCACGGTGCGCAAATGGTTGCCAGATGGAATAGGGCCGGATAGTCTATTGAAGGATAGATTCAGATGACTAAGGAAGTCAATGTTGGATATGCCCGGGGGGATGCTACCCGACAGTTTATTTTTGGAAAGATCAAGAGACTCCAAATTTTTCAGGTCACTAATGTTTGAGGGGATGTGTCCACTCAAATTATTCTGAGACAGGTTCAGATTTTGAAGTGCAACGAGCCTAGTGAACTCTTCTGGTATCTGCCCATCTAATTTGTTCGCAGAGAGATCGATTGAGAAGAAGAAAAAAAGCGTCTTACCATATATTTGGCTGGTTCCCTTTGTGTTAACCATAAGATTGAGACCAAATAACATTGCCTCAAGAGGACGCATATTGAAACAATTGGGAATGGGTCCGGAAATGTTATTCTGCGCTAGGCTCAAGAAACTGAGAGACCGAAGTTGGCAAAATTGTGGAGGAATGCCTCCAACAAAGTGATTTTTCTCTAAATTGATCACTTGCAATGATTGAGAATGTTTCCCCAATGGAGGTAACCTACCCGTGAATTCATTGTCGCTGAGATCAAGGACGATCATCTGTTGTAGATTTGACAAACAGTTTGGGATTACTCCACTAAAGCCATTCCTAGGTAGGCTAAGATAGCGTAATTGCTGAAGATGGCACAATGATTTCGGAATCTGACCATTTAACTTGTTATCCCCAAATAATAAAGCTGCCAACCTTTGCGATGCTCCCCAACATCGAGGCAGTCTCCCAGACAGTTGGTTATCTGAGAGAATAATGTGATATAGCTTATTCAACTTACACAGAGAACTTGGAATGCCACCGTTGAGATTATTACCAGAAAGTCTCAAATACTCTAATCGTGGCATCTTGTCTCCAATATCTTGGTGAACTTGGCCTCTAAGCGTGTTGCTTGAGATATCCAAATGGTCAACGTAAGAGGAAATGTCGTAGAGCCAATCAGGAATGTCACCTGAGATGCTTGCATTTGACATCGTCAACCCGGTAATGTTCTTCTGTGTTTGAAGCCATTTTGGAAATTCAGGTCCCACTTTGCAATCTGACAAATCTATCTCACGAACTTGGAATGGTGGAACCCAATTAGAGCTCACATTTAATCTGAGCTCATTGGAGGAAATGTCTATGACAGTCAAACTTTTGAGATTTTCAAAATGAAGTTCGCTTACAACTCCATACAATAAATTATGATGGACTAGGAGTTGCTCTAGATTCGATAGTCGCCCAATACTCTCTGGAATGGTCCCACTTAATTTGTTGTAGGCTAGATACAACTGTCTTAGAGATGATAGCTTCCCCAAATTAGTAGGAATAGAACCAAAAATTGAGTTTGATGAAAGATCGAGGAACTCTAGTTCTTTGAAATCTCCGAATTGATCTGGGAGGTCACCACTAAAGTTATTGTTGGAAGCATCAAAGATCTTCCACTTACTTTGTACCCAACCGAGAGGACCATCTAAGATGACGGAGATATTCCCATTGAAGTAGTTACTGCGTAATTGTACCACTTGCAATTTGTAAAGACTGCTCAAGTTTTTTGGAAATTCACCTTGTAGCGAATTGTCAGACATGTCAAAGAAGGCTAGCCTTTGATTATTCTCGATGATTGCCGTGGGAAAAGGGCCTTTGATATGAAAGTTTTCAGACAAATCAATATGTTCTAGCTTGCTCAAGTTATAGATCCATGGTGGAATAGAAGAGATCATATTATTGGACCCGATATCAAGAAATCTAAGAGAGGTGAAATTGGCTTGCAAAGAGCTAGAAGTGTCTTGCAATTGACAGTAGCTCAATATTAAAGATTGCAAAGATGACAGCATGTTAATGGAACCATACCAATCTGCGGCCTTATAAAGGACAACACCGAACATGTGCAAATATTTCAAGGAAGATAATTTCGATACCCAATCAAAGTCATTCGAGGTTAAATAACCCATAAGCAAGTCACTACTTAGATCTAAGTACTGTAACTTGGAAAGGTTATTGAGCTGCCTAGGAATATCTCCCTCAAAGCCTGCATATGAGAGATTAAGATACTCCAGTTTCTGAAGAGAAGCAAAGAACATTGGGATTTTCCGTATTGAAAAGTTGTTGACACTGAGATCCAGATACTTTAGATACTTTAGTTTAGTTAAGGAAGGAACTATGTTACCTCCCAGCCTGCACTTATCTGAAGGTACGAAGAAGTCAATATCGATCTCTTCAATACATGGATTATGAAGATCGAGCTTTAGGACATGACCGGTCTTCTCGTTGCATTTGACCCCTTCCCACTTGCAACATTCCTCTCCATTCCACGACGACAGGCGTCTCGAAGGATCAATGAGACCATGTTTGATCTTCAGAAGAGCTTCCCTCTCTGCACTAATACAACTTACATTGGTCGAAGCATTGGAATGACTGAATTCGATTACTTGAGTGACAAAGGTAGCCAATAAGACGGTAGACACAAGGCTATCGTAAGATGCCATAGGTTCTTTAGGACCTTGGAACGAGTATTTCTTTAATCATGTGGATAATGATCTTTGATTCAACAGGAAAAGAGTCACTATAATATATCGTTGAGGTCATTTTCTTATCACTCTCCAGCGTGACTTCGTAAAGGATGACTCCAACTTTTCCAAGTCAATGCCTTCCAAGACCCGCCAAACGGTCTACCCATCAAAATCAATCCAAAACGCGTGTCATCTTTAATCTTTGCAATAAGGGTCAAAGGAGGACGACAAACAAAACCGAAGAAAAAGGGATCCTGATAGCACTGCGTACCTCCAAGACTGGCTATTGTCAGTGTATAATCTCCATAAATTTATTGCCAGTGTCCACCGTCCACCGCACCCCAATTTATCACGAATTGACAAGTACTACGAATACTATAGGGAGTCAGCAACCTTCATTTTTTAAATAAAACAGTAACCCTCCTTTTATTTAAGCAACATCTAGATTAATAACCTATACTACGATATGAATGGGGATAATTTCCAAAAGATCCTAAACTTATTGGGTGGATACCAATCCAGTCATAAATTTTCTGATTTGGCTAATGAAGTCCTAAATCTTTTGACAATATTCTAATATAATTCATCACATGACAGTTCAGTCAACATCGGCCATCCTACATGGTACGACCAGCAGCTGACATGCAAGATGTAATTTGAACGACGTTGTTTTACAAATTTTTTAAAATTTTCTTTCTTTTCTCTCTTTTCATTTTTTTCTCTTTTCTTACCTATTTAACGTTATTATTCGTCGTCTCCTTCAAGGCGGACGAGACAATGAACGCCAAATCGTCTCCCCAAATCTAGGATTTTCTAAAGTTATATTTTTCCTTTAGATAATCTCTATTGTCTCCCCAAATCACGTCCATTCCTCTATCAAGGTCAAGCCCGTTGTTGTCTCGCTCGACGGTCGGACTTCCGTGAGACTGACACCGAGATCCGCTGACAATGGCAAGCTTCATGTCACCGTGAGGAAGTCCAATTTGTTGAGGCAGTCCCTTAGCTCCCGCTCCTTCTCCGGATTGACCCCGAGGTTGTCAAACTTCATGGGTGTCAAGACTTACACCATGAGCTCGTCCCGGAACCCATCTTGGAACCTCACTTGCTACTGGCAAGGGTCGCCGGTCATCACCGACACACTAACGACCCCGCTAGTCCTTGCCGATGGAGGGAAGAAGATGAATAGTAGAGAAGGAAAGAATTTGGAAAAAAAAAAAGAAAAAGAAAGGAAAGAAAATTGAGAAAATAAGTTTCAAAATATGTCGTTTCATTTAAGATCGTCCACATTAGCTGTTGATTGTGCAACGTGGGATGGATGGTGCTGATTAGATTGCCACGTCAGTGATTTTCAATCTAAATTGAGTTGATGGACTTCATTGGAAAATCCTCAAAAAGTTCAGGACTACATGAAAATTTAGGACTGAATTAGGTTTATGACTTTTTAAATAATTTTTCCATATAAATGAAAAGGAGAATTCTTGTGAGGGCCTTTAGATAGGAGGGTCTCTGCGCTTGTTTTCGAAGGTTCTTCATTTTTAAGAAGAAAATCTCTCCAATTGATGTCTAGTGAAATAGTACAATCGTGTGAAAGAAAAGGCAAAAACGCTTTTAAATGAAAAGGAAGGAAAATCTTCGCAAATTTAAAACTTTTTAGTAAATTGATTCAAATGGTTATAGCATTACATGACAATTAGATAAATTTAAGTTATGTTTTTGTTCATTATTCTTTCTGTAGAAATTGTTCTGGATGCCAAATATGAACGATTTTATTGTTCTTGAATGTATCCTAATTTTTTGGCCAAATTACGTTGGAAGAACCTCTTAGATCTTTCATGTATTGGATCTTAGATATGCCTTTTTGACTTCGCAATTATATGGCAATTAGGGGTGTGCATGGTCCGGGTGGGCGGTTCCCACCCCGGAACCGTGGACCGCCCTCTACAGGACCGGTACCAAAATTGGAACCGAGAACCGCCCGTCGGTTCCATGGACCAGACCGAGAACCGGACCGCCGGTCCGGTCCGGTTCTTGGGCGGGTCCATGGAACCGGTCTCAACAAGTTTTCCTAGACAAATAAAAAAAAATCTGTGGACCAACATCGGATCAACAGAACAAAAGGAAAAGAACATAACTTTTCATACAATTCCTACACTATGATCGATTATATTAACCACATCGTCCATAAATCAAGTGGGTACCCATTAATTATTGGAAAAAATGACCAAGGTATCCCAACTACACAAGAGCTTCAAACATGATAACAAATTTTCTTCTTCTTTTTTAATTTTTTGGTCAGATTTTTCTAATTAAAAATTTTAAAAAATAAAATATATTATTATTATATTACCGGTCCGGTCCAGGTGGGCGGGTGGGCGGTTCCACACCGGGAACTGGGAACCGGCCCAAACAGTACCGGTTCCAAAAAATTGGAACCGGGAACCGAACCGGTTCCCTTGGGAACCACAGGTTCCGGGTGGTTCCGGGCGGTCCGGGCGGATCCCGATTCTTTTGCACACCCCTAATGGCAATGAGAGGCTTTTTTACATTGGTAAGTGTCAAAAAATTATTGGTGAAAAAAATGATCGGTAACTTTTTTTAACAGATGACAAGCTGGTATTTATTACATAATTCTATAAAATTACCAATTCTTTTACAATTTGCAAATTATTGGATTTTGTACTAACTCACCAACTTTTATATGCATAGCTTAATAAAAGTTTCGAATTTACCAATTCTTCTACAAAACTTTCAACCTGAATTTAAGTAATTTACCAACTTTTGTCAAATTGAATTACTCAACTTGTTTGGAGTTACCTACTTTCATTTGAGACCATGCTTGAACTCTAAAAAGAGCTTCCCTCTCTGTACCAATACGGCTTACATTGGTCGAAGCTTTGGAATGACCAAATTCGATTACTCGAGTGACAAAGATTGCCACAAGAGGGTAGACACAAAGCCGCCGTAAGACGCCATAGGTTCTTTAGGACCTGAGAACAAGTATTGCTTCAATCACATGTACAATGGTCTTTGTTTCAGCTAGAAAAGAGTCGCTAGAAAACGTTCTTTAGGTCATTTTCTGATCACCGTCCACCATGACTTCCTGAAGGACGACTCCAACTTTCCGAGTCATGCCTTCCAAGACCTGCTAAACGGTCATCAACCCATCAAAATCAACCCCAAAATACACGTCAATCTCTATTCTGTAATAACGATCGAAGGAGGACGACAAACAAAAAACAAGAAAGGAGAGGATGCTTACAAGACTACGTACCTCTAAGACTGGCAATTGTCAGTGTATGATCTCCAGAAAATTTGTCATTTTAAGACGAAATGAAAGTGGAAGCTCGATTCAGAGAAATGCAATGGGCATGAACAAACAAAGAATTGAAAACCAAAATGACAAGCGGTTGACATGCAATGGAAGGAGTTGCTTGCAAACAGAAGTCGGTGTGCAGTCGAAGCAGCCTGATCACCATAGCGGCAATGTATCATGGATCAAGCGGTTGCCACCAAAATTGGAGAATTTCAAGCAAAGTGTCACTGACAGCTCAACTTCTCTTTAAGAACGTAAAAGAGGCTTAGGCGTTTGAAGATAACAAGCCCGCATGCATGCACATATCAACACTCCACCTAGAGTCTATCCATTCAATTTCCTTGTATTTTGCTTCCTTCTACATTTTAATTCCTATATTTTCCTCTTAGTATATTTTCATTTTAATATTCTTTAATTTCTTCGCAACTTACATTTCATGTCACTTAGATTCGCGGATTCGTCACTCCATCCATGTCTCATGTGCTCGAGTGTGGAACTGCAAGGCGATCTCGATCGCTCTCTAGTCATCTGAAGCTGGGATCATCTTAGAATTCGTCGATTTTTGTCAACACTCGTTTTGGCATGCCCAAGCAAATCTATTTTCACTGACAAAGAGCATGTGTTGTGTGCCATGAGTAATAGAAGAAGAAAACACAAAGAGAGATTTTTACTTGCTATTAGTTTGATGGGCACGCGCATTCTTTTATTGAGATTAACGTATTCAGGTTACATGAAAAAAGTGCCAAAAAAGTCATAAACCTTTTGCATTTGTGCCAATTTAGTCCTAAACCTATTTTTGGTGCCAATTTAGTTCTAAACCTTTTGCATTTGTGCCAATTTAGTCATAAATATTTTTTTGATGCCAATTCAGTCTTAAACCTTTTGTATTGGTGCCAATTCAGTTCTAAACTTTTTTGTTTCTGTGCCAATTCAATCCTTCCGGCCAATTTTGGCTAGATTTTGCTGACGTGGATGCCGGCTGGCCGACAGCCGATCACCGGTGCTGACGTGGATAACTTTTAATAATATTTTAATTTTTATTTATTTATTTTCTTTTTTTTTTCTCCCCCCTCCCTTCTTCCTCCAGCCAGTCGCCGGCCACTAGTGAGGCTCGCCCTCACCAGCGACGGCAAGGCTCGAGCCCTCGCCAAAGGCCTTCGTCGCGGCCTCCGGCGAGGGCTCGAGCCTCGCCGACGGCTGGGCAAGGCACGACCTCGCCAGATCCGGCGAGGTAGTGCCTCGCCCAACCATGGCGAGGGCGAGCCTCGTCGGCCTTTGGCCGGCCACCGGTCCGGCAACTGGCTGGAGGAAGGAGGGAGGGAAAAAAAAAAGAAAAAAAAAAGAATATAATATAAATATAAATTCGAAAAAATATTAAAATATTATTAAAAGTTGTCCACATCAGCGCCGGTGATCGATCGGTGTGCATGTCAGTAAAATCTGGCTAAAATTGACCGGAATGACTGAATTGGCATAAAGACAAAAGGGTTTAGGACTGAATTGGTACCAAAAAAGGGTTTAAGACTAAATTGGCACAAATGCAAAAGGTTTAAGACTGAATTGGCACAAAAAAAAGCTTTAGGATTAAATTGGCACAAATAGAAAAGGTTTAGGACTTTTTTGGCACTTTTCACCAGGTTACATGGAAGGCACTATTATCGTA